AAGCAAAAACAAAGTTCCTTCTCACCTCAATGTGTCAGAGCTTAACTTGGGCCTTTCTAGGGTTTGACTTGAGGTTGTTAGGGATGAGCCATCTATTCATGCTAGAAGGTGACCCTGTGACTGCTGGCATGCATTATGATCATGGTATTTTTCCCCAGTGCCAAGGATAAGCCTCTGACACAGCAATCCTGTAATCTGACACTCCTCTCTTTGTAGAAAGAATGCTTCCCAGGCAGAACCAAACCCAGCATAGAGTGGGAATCTGAGCTCCCTTTGGATATTTTGATTATAAAACCATGCAACCTAGCAGAGCAAGCTAAAGTTCTGCCCCATGAGCTCAAACCCCAGAAAATCACCAGGCGGGAAGTCAGAGAGAAGCAGGCATCTGTCATGTGAGAAGTACCAGGCATCTGTCATGTGAGAATTACCAGACCAGTCTCATGGACACTTTAAGCTTGGACTTGTGTTTCCCCTTCCCAATTCAGAGTGGGTCTAATTAATTAGAATAAAGCTCTGATTTTCTCATGAGAGCAACTTCAATGCCTTACCTACCAAGCATGAGATTATTTTCAAGAAAACCTTAGCGAGATGCCCCTTCCACCTTGCTTGATTTACCCATCAATTAAGTCATCACTATGCATTGGCACATGGTGGAGCCTGAGCTGTGATTTCCCTAATAGGTTTGAACACACCCAAAGTAAAATAGCTTTCATAGCACTTGTTCTGTGTGGTTCATGTGTGTATGTCCTGGTGGATGTGAATATGTCCACATGTGTGAAGGCCAGAGGTTATCCTCAGGTGCTGTTCCTGACAGCTTTCTTAGTTAGGGTTACACCATGACTAAAAACAACTTGGGGAGAAGAGGCTTTTTTGTTGTTGTTCAGTTTACAGCCCATCATTGAGGAAAATCAGAGTTCTTGTCTGACTTCCCTCAAAGATGGGCTGTAAACTGAACAAAAAAACAAACAAACAAACAAACAAAAAAAGACAATGCGCCACAGACTTGCCTACAGGGAAATTTTATGAAGGCATTTTCTTAATTGAGAATCCTTCCCAAAACACTCTAGCTTATGTCAAGTTGACATAAAACTACTCAGGAAAGGACTCTTGTCTATCTGGTTTGTTTGTTTTTAATTTATCTATCTAGAATGTATGTCTGCATGTATGTCTGTACAGTATGTGCAAGTCTGGTGCCCACAGAGGTGCCCACAGCATTGGTACCCTAAAGTTACAGATAGAATCATTAGGTAGGAACCCTGGTTCTGTGGAAGATTATTCAGTCTGCTGACCCTTGGGTCATCTCTACAGATAGCCCCCCCCCCAACACTTTTTTTTTTTTTTTTGCTTTGTTTTTTTACAACAGTGTCTCTCACTGGGAGTTGGAGCTCACCAATTAAGTTAAGCTGGTTGGCCAGCAAAATCCAAGGATCTTTCATCTCTGCCTCCTCACGTTCTGGGATTACAAGCATACCCACCATGTTGGGCATTGTATGTGGGTTGTGGAGATTAAACTCTGATTCCAATGCTCACACAGAAAGAACTTCACAGACTCAGCTATCCCCCTGGTCCTCCAGTGTTGGCTTCATGCCTAGGCCAGTGCCAGTTAAGGAAAAGTCTCTTCTGGGACAGCTGGGATGGTAATGGCACATACCTTTGATCCCAGCATTCAGGAGGCAAGACAGGATCTCTGAGTTCGAGGCCAGCCTGATCTACAAAGCAAGTTCCAGGACAGCCAGAGCTGTTACACAGAGAAACCCTGCCTCAGATAATAAATAAACTAATTAATTCTGTGGTGTAGGGGTTAGAGAGATGACTCAGTGGTCAAGAATGATTGTTGCATCCGGGCGGTGGTGGCGCACACCTTCAGTCCCACCACTCGGAAGGCAGAGGCAGACAGATCTCTGTGAGTTCGAGACCAGCCTGGTCTACACGAGCTAGTTTCAGGACAGCTTCCAAAACCACAGAGAAACCCCATCTCGAAAAACCAAAATGATAATAATAAAAAAGAATGATTGTTGCTCTTGCAGAGAACCAAAGTTTGTTCCCAGCATCCACACTGCATGTTGAAGCATACCTTTAATCCCAGCACTCAGAAGGCAGAGAAAGGTAAATCTCTGAGTTTGAGGCTAGCCTTGTCTACATAGTGGGCTCATTCAAGCCAGAGCTATACAGAAAGACTGGTTTTTATTTAAAAAAAAAAATCTGGAGCATACATGCAAACACTCCAGCTTTCTTCACTGAGCATTTTGTGCAACTGTTATATATGTATAATTTAATACTTAAAAATATCTTTTTGTTGATGGAGTTTTGCTTGTGGCCTCACTATGTAGCCCAGTCTGGCCTTGACTTTAGCAATCTTCCTGCTTTGTCTTCCTGAAACAGGATTATCGGACCCAGGCCACCACTATACCCAGTTTTTAAAACATATTCTGGTATTCTAATGATGGAAACATCACCCAGATGTGGATGATGAAGAGATACATGGAGCCAATCTTTCTGTGACATTGTCTGCATTTGGCAAAAGGACCCACTGAACACTTACTTATCCAGAACACATGATTTTAGCACCATCACAGTTTGCAGTTGCAGCCACAATTACTAAGACTTGATTCTAGCAGGGTCTGAAATCAGAGTCCTAAGTGTCTTCCCCTACCATCTAATCTGTGTGATCCCTCCTGTACCATTTGCATCTATTGTCTAACCTCTGTTAGACTTAATGGAAGCCGACTCTGCACTTATATAGGGACCCTCTGCTAGTTAAAAGCCTCATTTCTACAGTTGCTATGGAAACCGTCCCCTTCCTCTCTCCACAATCCATTCTGGCTCCCTGCTCCAGGTGCTACTCTTTATGATTGTAGCAGAAAAGAACTGCACATTTTTCCATGCCAGGTCTGCAACCAGCAGTGTGCGTGTGTGTAAAAAGGCACCCTACCATCTGATACCCTGACAGGACTGTTTTCATGTCTCTGCTACCAAAAGGATTTTCACAGCAGTGTCTAAAGATTCACAGTATGGACTAGCTGGCTAGCTATAATGTTTCCTGATAGAGCCATGATTTTCTGTGAGGTAGTTCACAATCAGAGCATGGCTCACTGGCAGCCTTGTTGTATCAGGTATTATCATTCTTTTCAATTTTTGTGGGGAGTGGGATTTCATGTGTGTGAATGTCAGTGTGAGAGGACAGCTTGGTGTGTTGTTTCTCAGACACCCTCTACTTCGTTTACTCTAGCAAGGTATCTCATTGGCCTGCAACTTCACCAAGTACACTTGTCTAGCTGGCCAGCAAGCTTCCAGGGACCCATCTGTCTCTCCCTCCCACTTCACCATCTCTGGGATTATAAGCTCACACCACTGTGCTTGGCCCTTTAGGGTTCTGAGAATCTGAACTCAGTCCTCATGCTTGCAAGGGGAGGACTTTACCAACTGAACCATCTCACCAGCCCCTCTTTTCTTTTACCATTTCCAAAGTGCAAGGTAAATGGAAGAAAATAACAAGTATTGAGGGAGCCTAGAGACAGGCCTCCTGTCTGATACAACAGAATGAATGAGGAAAAGAGATGCTGTAGTGGTGGAAACATTTAGAAGAATGGGGGTGGTGATAAGGGGGCGGGGAGGGAGAGATGGAGAGGAAAAGAGAAAATATTAATTCAGTTCTGTACAGTAACTGCATCGCCTCCTAGGGGTTACATTGTGTCACATCACTAGAAATTGGGAAGTTCTTTCCTGGGTTTTACTCAAATCCTCCCTACTGCAGTCTGAGCTCATTGCACTCAACAGAGATGGAGACTAGCCAACTACTATCCTTGGAACAACAACTCACTAGGGACTCAGGGCAGGAAGGTCATCACGTCCCCTCCACTACAGAGCAGATTGCCTGACCACGCCCAGAGCTGGGGCAAGGACAGGAAACCCAGGTTGGGGACCTGGCAGGTGGCGGTGGGCGGGTGGTGGGGGTAGAGTGAGGACTGAAGTGCTGTTGAAATCCAGACAACGATAATACCCTGATAGAGACCACTATAGAAACCCCGAGACAGCAGTGCGCAAGATGGCTCCCCAGGTTTGGGGCGAGGCTACGGAACTGCCACACAGTGCTCATCGCAGACACAGCCTAACTAGAAGCTTTTCTGGCGCGGAGGCCGTGGACTCCGCCCTCTGCTGGGCCCCGCAGAGCCCCTACCCCAGCTCAAGTTGGAGGGAGAAACTTGGTCTGGAAAACTGCAGGTGGATGCCTGCGGCCGCCACCCCATCGCAGAGCGGTGCGCAGAGGAGACCACCACAGTATCCCGGCCCCGCCCTTGCGGTGCTTTGACTCCGCCCCCAGACAGACAGCGACCAATGAGCTGCTTCTGCAGCCGGCCTTTAAGAACCACGCGCACTCTCCCTGCAGCGGACGCAGCCAGCCTAGCACTCCGCGGGAGTTTCCATGGCGACCGAGGCCCGGACCGCGGGGCCTGGCAGTGTTGCCATGGAGACAACTCCGGAGCTGGGGCTCCGGAGCCCCGGCGCATCGCCGAGTCAGAACCCGGCGGAGCCACTGTGCGAGGCCGGTGCCGCGGTGGCGGCGGCGCGCTGGGATCTGCGGAAATACTCCTTGCTCATCGTGATCGGCGATATTGGTACAGAAAGTCAGCTGAGGGCCGTGCGGGCCCACCTTGAACAAGGTGAGCCGCTATCCTGACTGTCCCACAGCACTCCATCCGTACATTTCCGCCATCTGCATTCATCTCCCAGTGCATACTTCTATAGTCTCCATTTCTATGTGCACTTCCCGAGACCTGTGCCCCTGTCACCTGCATGATTTCCATGCGCCTGTGTTCTCTCGAGCTGCCAACATCTTGCTTGCCCATCCTTCCCTCATATCCCAAGCTGTTCCGCAGTCTCCCTGAGCAGGGGGAGCTCGGGGCAGACCCCAGAGTCCCTCTGGTCACACCCCTTTCCCGCAGTGTCTCGACCAGATGTCGGAAAGTCCTCACCAGACCCTGAAAAGTCCATGTCCCTACCTCACAGTTTCTTCTTAAGGGGAGCTTTCTGAACACAGGGCACACATCTCAAACCTCTGAACGCTGGCAGTCAAGTTGAGAGTGACCTTCGTGGCTCCTCAGTTCATCTCCTTCAGCTGTGCCTGTGGCGCAGTGCTGCGTGTGAAAGCAAGCCTCTTAGGAAGGGTGGAGGTAAGGGGGGGGGCATAGACGGAGAATATAGAATCTAATTTAGCGAAGGAATCCTTATGAAAAGTAACGGTATATGGGAATACACCCTTGGCTGTCACTTCTACCACAACTGGACAGCCTTGCAAAGCAAAATGAACACCACAAGCTCATTTGTTACTAAATTCAGTCTAAACTCTGCTCTTTGCCCTCTGGCTCCCATAGAGGGGAAACAGCAGTTGAGAGATGTGCACAGGTACTAGCTGTCCTCCTCAGAGGTACTACCTCCCTGGCCTTTCCTCTTCTAGAAGCTTGACAGTGCTCTCTGCAGTCCCACCAGATGACTTTGCCTAGGACCCTTCTCTCTTTTTTTCTCCCACAGGGATTCTCTCCTGGAACATTGATTTATCATCCTTTGACTTGAACCAACAATTGAGACTCTTCATTACCCGGCACCTAGCTCACTTCTCCTCAGAAGTCAAAGGTTAGGACTAGGGTCATTTGTCTCAGTCCTTTGGGTGTGGGCTGGAAGAGGAGAGGTCCAGGATCCAGGGCAGACCTGGCCTTGTGGGAGGTTTGGGCTGCGGAGAAGGGAGGGACTTTTCATGGCTCCACAGCTATCCCTACCTACCCAAACACACAATATGTCAGGACATAATTTTCCCAAGAAGACCATTGTTTGTACACAGCAGTTGACAAGTGCTGCTAAGAAAGTGATCAAATCACTTGCAGGCAAAAATCCAGGCTTTTCTTTTGTGTTCCCCTTTCTGCATACCTCAGCCCCCCCTGTCTCCCTTATACACATCCAGGAATGCCTCACTCACCTTCCCAGTCCCGTTTCTCACAGTCCACCCTGCAGGATTGTTTGTTTCCTCTTTACTTAGCCAGCAGATCTGCAGAGCAGGTCAGCACCATCAGATCAAGGCTGGAACAAAGGTCTCCAGGATTTCTTGGGGCTTGGTTCTGAGTTCAGTTCTGCTGGGTGGGAGAAATAGTCTAGAAGTGTGAGATAAGATTTTAGGAATTAGCATTCTACAACAGATGCCTACTGAGTACAGGAAGTCCTACATCCCTTGATAAAGGTGTTGGACATCTGGTCATATTATTGTAAATGTTGACATACCAATCCATACAACTTCCTTTTTTAAAAAACAGGGTCTCACTATATAGTCCAAGATGACCTTGAGCTTGACATATAGTCTCGGGTGGTATCAAACTTGTGTTGTCTCTACGTCCTGAGTGCTAGGATTGTAGGCATGCACCATGCCTGCTTCCATGTAGTTTTATAGTATGTGAATTCCCTTTATCTCAGTCATCATTGCCATCAAATAACAGAATTTGTACACCAATAATTCTCATCTGTCTAGTACAGCAGACAGTTACCTCTTTCTCCTCTAGTCTAGCAGATCCCTGGTCATTTCCTTTTTGATAATTTTTCAGGAGCTGCTGAGAAGTTGGAGAAAATTAGGGTAACATGACTAAAAACAAACCAAAAAACGTGAAGCTGGAATCTTCTGATGGGACTGGCTTCCTATCAAACTAGCCACTCGCTCTTTTGAGAACGCCTTCCATTGAGAATTGCCCATGTTGTGACATCCTCTACTATTCCTAGCGACTAAAGACAATTTACCCCTCAACACTCCTAGAAGCAAGACTGAATAAAGGGATGGCAGGGGATTAAACTAATTACCAATGCTTGGGGTTATTTCCTAGCCTTGTCTTTTTTGGCCATAGCGACTTGGAGTAATGTAAGAAATGCATACATAAGACAAAATTCTTAGCTGTTCTTCAGATTAAGGTGCAGGGAATGCTTGGGAAGTGGTTTGCAGGAAGATGCACCCTGAGGCACTTCTCTGAAAGAAGCATTGGTATAGAAATACCTACTAAACTCTTCAGAGTTTTGCTATGGTGTCCTCAAGAGGCTTGGGGCCATCCACCCAAGAATAGGGCTGACTTTTAGCATACAGATTTTGTTTTAGGTTTAGACATTTTCATGGTGGCTTCTGTCCCTGGAGAACAGTGGAGAATTTCCTGGAAAAAAAAAATAACAACCCACAGAACTTAAGGCAGCCACAGCCCCACCCTTGCTGGCTTCTCTTTCAGCTGTCCCTGCACTGTCTGCCCAAAGCAGCTGCAGACGCTGCCTCATCCTTCAGCCTCCCTTGGTAACCAGGAGCTGAGGTGAATTCAAGGAGATACATTAAATGCCTTATGACTTGACCTTTTTGGCCTACTCTATAGGGAAGACAACCATTATCTTTACACCCCAGGCCAAAATCATGAAGGAACAAACTATATCTTACAGTGATAGGAAGAGTGCAATTATTACCAGGGTTCACCCTCTCTACATTTACAACTCCCCCCTCCCACACACACACACCACACATCCAGTAAAAAAAGGAACCCTCAGATATTCAGTGGCCCAGCTCCTTCTAGTGGTCAAGTCTGGTAAAACGCTTTAAAGGGTAGTTTTCATAACATGTGGTCTTCAGCAGAGATTTTGGGGACCTTCCTTTTCAGTTCCTACTCCTTCCCCTAAAAATCCCTGAAGCTTCAAAGCATTTTTAACACTTAGAATAATTGAAAACTTAGCTTAAGGCCTGGGGTACATGTTGGCGGCAGAGTGCCCACCTAACATGCAGAAGGCCTGGATTCACAGGGGATAGAGATAAGGAATAGTGGGCCAATATACTGACACATCACTGTTGAGTTTCAATAAAACCCTGAATCGTCTACTGTTGAACTCCTATAAGAAAGGGAGGATTGATAATCTGAGACTTGAAGACTACAGGCTAGCCTGGTGTCCTGCAGTGCCAGCACTGGGGAGGTAGCCACAGAGGATCATCCTTGGCTACATAGCAAGTCCATGACCAGCCTGGGCTACCCGAGACTCTGGAGAGCTGGAAAGAGGTGAGAAGCTGGAGAGGGGAGGAAGGCTGAGGAACCCCTTTGAGTCCTTCTGACTCTGTTTCCATTTGTGTGCTCAGAAGATCCTGAAGTAGAAGTTTTCATTGTTAGCTGAAATGGGAAGGCAGAGAGAGAGGAGAGAGAGGAGAGAGAGAGAGAGAGAGAGAGAGAGAGAGAGAGAGAGAGAGAGAGAGAGAGAGAGATGAATAGAAGCCAAGTCTCATTCTGTAAGCATCTCCAGTTTGGGCTCTGCCTGAAATCTACCCCAGTTTACTGAGTTTATCCCAGTACAAGTCTGGTCTAGGATTCTGGTTTAGGGTCTGAAATCTACAAAGAGAAATATCCTGTCATGTTTGCAGATTGCAAGGTTAGGGAGGAAAGGAACTTTCTCAGGTGATATAGTCCTCACAGCATGGCTGAAGGGTGGTGCTAATATACTCATTTGCTAGTTCAGAAAGCAAACTCTGAGACGGTTTATCTGACTCCATTAGTGGTATGGTTCAGAGAGTGGCATCAGGTGTGAAATCAGGGACCACTCAAGCCTTCTCACCATTTCACTGCAGGAGAGAGGGTTAAGGGTTAAGGGTTCTCTGTCACAAGTGGCTGCTTAGAGATGGAGAGAAGGAAAACCAGCTATGACTTGGAACCTTGTCCAAGGTGTGGTGTAGGGGTATGTGGCTTAGAACAGACATGGACTCTGCTTTCAGTTAGGAGATGTCAATTTGGTCTCAAAGCCCAATGTCTACTAAAGCTCTCCCCCAACACCGAGAGAGCTCTAAAAGGCAGAGAGGGGACAGGAGGTTGAAGGCAGGATGAAATAAGAGCAATGAAGCTGCAGAAGGGGAGAGCACTTCTCCATGATGCCCGGGACTGAGCCTGGTTTATACAGTGTGTGTCTGTCTTTACAGATGGCCTCTCCTATCCAAATGGGGATATGGCCATGTTGCTGCTTTGCATTCCGGATCTGAGCAAGGGTTCTCTTCTCCTTCTGTTCCCGAGAGTACCAGTGACTCAGCTAATCCTCCCCTCTGGCTGTAGCTAAAGGGGGGTGAGGGGATGCTGAGAGCAGAAACTATTTTGGCTTTTCTGACCTTCAAAAGCAGTCCTTGGCAGCCTGGAGCAAGGGTGGGGCTGGGGCTGGCCAGTGAGTGGGCGGAAGGAGCTGACCACACCCAGGGAGGGTTAATGAGGAGAGGGCAGGGATGTAGGGGTAAGAACGTAGCAGTGATGGGCAAAATAAGTATTTGCTCCAGCCCTCCAGATCTTCCCTTTGAATCCTGGAGCACTTAGCTGAGTCTGAGGCAGAGGCTGAGACTAAGGGCACAAGGTCAACATAGGAAGATTCAAGATCAAGTAAGACAGACACAGTGAAGTGACAGAGAGAGGAACAGAGAGAGACAAGGAGGAATCCGGACCCAAACACCCTACAGATCGTTTTTTAACCCAAAGAGTAGTTTATTTTAGACTGGTCCATAGCAAGAAAGCTTTGGCTGAGTCTGGGTCGGGGGTGATGCTCCTTGGCCCTTTACTGAAAGGCAGAAGCCTCCCTTACCCTTCGGAGACTGCCCTACAGCCAGGACTCAGAAACCAGCTTGTGTGTGTGCTCAAAGCCTGGCTGTATTAGCAGGGACCTGCATGCAGCTCCCAGGGTCCCTGTGCCCCACCCCAGTGGGCTGGGGACTGTGTCTGCTCCAGACTTTCACACTAGCCTCCAATCTAAAATGAGATGCATTTTCGTCCTTCCCAGTTTTCTATTGATGTGGTCAGAACAGCATCCAGCTTACCCAGGGTTCAGCTTACCACATCACTTACCACCCCTACACTGCTCCCCTCCACTTATGGCCCCCCAGCCTTGTCTCCTGCTCTTGCAGTGACTGAAGGTTACTCTCTGGGTCCATCTGAGGGGAGAGGCAGCAGATGGTTTCTAAGAGGAAGGGGGAGGGCCCATGCGGCCCTCGCCTCTTATAGCTGGCTCTGTGCCCCAGTGTGTGAGGCTCTGGTCCTTTGGTTGATGCTGA